ATTTCAATGTTAAAAAAAAAAAAGTTTTTTTTTTTTTTTTTACTCATTTGAAATTATAAATTTTTTAAAATTACAATTTCCACTCTTATATCACTAATGAATTTATGGTTCCATAAGGAACCTTTAGCATCCATGGAACCTTTCCATTCCACAGGAGGTTCTTTCTAGTGGAAAAGGTTCTTTAGATTATTAAAATGTTCTTCAAACTAAGAAAAAATGGTTCTTTTAAGAACTGTTCACTGAAAGGTTCTTTGGGGAACAAAAATGGTTCTTCTATGGCATAACTCCTTTTCAAACCATTGTTCTTAAGAGTGTATCATAAAAACACAGTTCATCGCTGACTAGCCAACTAAACGTTTAGTTAGGAAGTACACATATTAAATCCATGTGCATCGCTTGTACTGAGAGACAATATGAATAGTGCCAGTAGTTCAGTGGCAGATCTTGGACAGTCGGTCCATATCAGATTCTTCTAAACTCTGCAGCTTTTTCATGGGATTGCAATCTCTTTCTGCTCCGCTTAGGCCTCTCGTTGAAATCAATCAGTTTTTCCAGCAGCTCCCTGTGCTGTAGTTTGCCGCCCCCTCACACTTCAGCTGCTCTCCAGCAGCATTATTGCTCTGTTCGTGACACGATGCCTCTTTACCTGCTTGAAGCCAACATGGGGGTGGGATGTATTATAATAGTGCTGCTGTACAGTAAAGATCACATCACAAAAGAAGAAAATAAAAGCACACTGTAAAAATATATTTTTCAGAGAATACTAGAGTATGTTTCACCAGAAAATATCATTTCACTCTTTCCATTTCAAAATGTCATGTTTAATTCAGTGTGTTATTTGCCGTTTCGTTTGTAATGTGAAATCAAAAAGTAAACAAATTCAATTTATTTTATTTTTTTTTTCCAGTGCAGTCATGTGTTTTTTTTTCAATGCAATTCTGTTCTGGAGCAACATTGTCTAGACAAAAAAAATAGTATTTGCGGTAGCACTTTTTTGTTTTATTTAAAAACTTGCAAGGCATAATTAAACTTGTATTACCTACGATAAGTTATACTTCTGTACGAGTGTTATTTATTATCACTGATACACTAATATAGTTTTTGTTAATGTTTTGAATTAGATTAGATTTTTAAATGATCTGTTTTCACTTTTAGTCAAACTTTTAGTAATTTTGTTGTACATTTTTTTTTTGTCAATTCATTCGTTTTTTTTAAAGATCTATATAGTTTTTCGATATATGTCCATTAGCTTACGTTAATTAATGCATTAATTTACATTAACTGTTGTAGCCATTTAAGAAAATTTATTTTTTGTTTTATATTTATGTTTAAATATTATTTGTTTGTGATTTGTTTCAGTTTAATCTGTTAATTATGAAATAATTTTGTGTAATTTGTGAACGTCATAAAGTGCGTGGTAATGAATTGAACGGCAATACGCCGGGAGAAATGGAGTGGGTCAGACAATTTTTGACCACTTCATACGTTTAGTTTGTGGAAAATCCCTTTTTTGAACGAATTTCGTTTTGTATAAATTGTATCTTAATTTTGATACATATTTTTGTTGATCAACTATCAAAATCAAATAAGAACAAAGAGAAATCTGTGGAATAAAGTGCGTAACAAGACTATTGTTAGTTCATGTTAGCTTATGTCCATTAATTAATATTAATTAATTTATATTAACAGGTACAACTTTGGATTTTAATAATGTATTAGTAAAGTCTGAAATTAATATTAACTTAGATTAATAAATGCTTTACAATTATTTTTCATTGTTAGTTGTTAGTTATATTAACTATTGGAACCTTATTGTAATTTCTTCATGTTTTAATTATTTTTTTGGGCCACACTTTGGACTTTTGCCTCAGTGAACTACTAATTTGCCACATATTAATAGTTAGTAAGATAGTTGGTTAAGTTTAGGTGTGGGGTAGAATTAAGGGATCTAAAATATGCAGAATAAGGCATTAATAGGTGCTTTATAAGTTTTAATAAACAGCCAATATGCTAGTAATATGTATGCTAATAAGCAAATAGTTAATAGTGAGAATTGGTCCTTAAAATAAAGTGTTAACATTTTTTAATCATTCTTTTATTTGCCTTGGCTACTAGCTGAAATATAACCAGTTTACGTTTTTTATATTTTATTTTGATTCTGTTTATTTTATTTTAAGCAGTTGTAGTTTTAGTTAATTATAATAACCCTGCTCTGTATATGACCAAGACATGTGACTTCAGTATAATAGTGTTACTGTAGTGCTTGATTTGTCTGTATCTTTGACCATTGTATTTTCTTTTGCTTTCTAGCAAGGTAGAAATATTGCATAACACCAACAATGAGGAGTCTGTGTGGGTTCGAGCGCATGTCTGATCTCGCCCGAGCCGTTGAGTGTGTTCTTACCGATCTTTGTGAGGATCACAGGTGTGACCACACTCCTCCTCTTACTGCCGTCGCTCAGGAGGGTGGAGTTGCCCGTCGGAGGAAAGAGTTTGCCGTTGCGGAAGGCCAGCAGATGTAGCTTATAGACGGCTTCATCAGCCTGACCTGAGCTTCCCAGAGACGAGAAGAGAGACGGGGGAAGCTGGAGAGACGCCTCCACGATAGTGTTCTGCAGACGTGGAGATGCAATAACGTTACTGTCAGAACATGATGGATATATTCCTGCTTCCACAGCTTTATTGGAGTTCTCGCTTTGAAGAAGCGCTCGCCTTATAGGTTATGACAAATCAACCGTATACGTACAGGAAGTAGGCTTGCTGCGATAGACGGAGTTGATGGTGATACCGAAGCTGTCACTTGCCCACCGCGGCATCGTTTTGATTTTTTATAGTAATAAAAATCATTTAGTTCATTTAGAGAACAGACACTGCGATTAAAAACTGAACGCGGCTGCTCATTGCAGCGTGCCGAACGACGTCAGATTTCATTTATCATGTGAGGAGAGTGAGGTGAGACGGATGAGACGATAGCGAATGATTAGTTTCGAAACGAAATGCAAAAGCGCTTGTTTGGCAGTATTTTGAAAAGCCTGTTGACATTTGCCGTTTATCTAAGATGATTTTTTAAACACTCGTTTCTTTTTTAATTGGTTCCACAGTGTTTGCTGATTTTTACTTTATTTGAACTTTGTGTAATTTATTTATTTATTTTAATTTGCCATCAAGGTGTATGCCGCGCCTCCAAACTTTCTTATTCGTTTTGCTGATAAACGTTCTACGTTTCTTATTTATTTGGTTCCACGGTGTTTATTGGTTTTCAGTTTTGTATACCTATTTAAACTTAAGTTATTTGTTATTTTATATTAGGCCTAGCCTATAGCATAGTGTATTTTTATTCATTTTGTTAATAATAGTTCTATGATTTATAAATAGGTTCTATGATTTAAAAAAGTAAGTTTGGCATTGTATTTTGTTGTTGCTTGAATTGCATTCAAGCAATTGACGCCGAATTGCCGCTAATTTGAAAGTGAAAGTAATATACGCACGCCACATTTACAAGCTATTTAAATCTATTTATTCACTTTTTAACACCATGCCAGCATCAAGGCTATTTTCATGGCGATCTCGGAATAAATTATACAAGGTATACAATTAACAAAAACACATTTCAAAACTGATTATAAAAAAATAAAAAATTATAAAATACATTCAGGTGATACATTTTTAAATAAATCAGTTAAACACACCTCTGAATAAAACCATTGCCTATTTACATTAAAAACATTACAATCCAATAAAATATGCTTCACAGTCATTTTAGTTTGGCAAGTAAGGCATGATGGTGGTTCTTCACCTTTTAATAAATATCCAAGTGTAAGTCTTGTATGACCTAAAAGACATCTTGTACAAACAACTTGGTCATACCTAGATTTAAAGGCACAATATGTAAGACTTTTTTATTAAAATATCCAAAAAGCCTTTGTTTCTTCTGAATACGCGCCATTTAGCGGCGAAAAATTACATATTGTGCCTTTAAAACTAGGATGTTTCATATAGCTTATTTTCATGACATTTATCCCATTCCATCTGCCACATGTCATTAATATAAGAGTTTATCACAGGTTTGACATCACAAAAAGGAATTTGACACTCGGAAATATTCAGTTTGAGTGCTTCTTTTGCAGTGATATCTGATTTAAAAGCTATTTATATGCAAAGGAAAGCAAGGAGAAGACACAGTGATACCAGTATTACCGGTGCTGTCACACGTCGATTAACCGGTGGGGACATTTCCTCACCGTCACAACCCTAACCGGAAGTACCCGAGACGAAATGCTTACTCTGAGAGCCAGTGCAGACAGGTTGCTTGTCACGTTGCATTTGAAGCTGAGCTGGCGCTCCGGGTTGATGTCGGGGTCTCTGGGAGAGAAATGGGCCACGGGTGTGCGCTCCGGTGAGAGCTTCTGGAACAGAGTGCAGGTCATTCCATTGAAGCTGCTGGCCTTGATGGCATGAGCCTCCAGAGCAATGTTGTGAGAGTTCTGGTGAAACAGATTAGAGGAAAGAAGAATGATTACAATATCATGCACATATTACTGAATGACTGTGAACACCAGGTCTCCTTCAAACTACTCTATAACAATCTACACTTTTAATCAGCGAGGATGCATGAAATTGGTGAAAAGTGACAGCATTTATAAAGTTACAAAAGATTTTGTTCCCACTTTATATTAGGCGTCTTTAACTATGCGCTACGTAGAATGTACTTATTTTGGTCATGTTGTATTGCAAAACACTTTTGCTGTTATTGAATGGGATCTGGTTGAGGTTAGTGACAGGTTTGGTGATTTGGTTAGGTTTAAGGGCTAGAAGTTGGTTTAAAAGATGTGAATACAGAAATACATTACAGATGTAATTACATCCAGGTATTTTTTATATTTAATTTCAATGTCGGTACATAGTAGTTAAAGACACTTGATATAAAGTGGGTACAAGATTTCTATTTAAAATACATTTAAAATGTATCACGGTTACCACATAAATATGAAGCAGCACAACTGTCTTCAGCATTCATAATAACCAGAAATGTTTCTTGAGCAGTAAATCTGCATATTATACTGATTTCTGAATGATCATGCGACACTGAAGACTGGAGTAATGATGCTGAAAATTCAGCTTTGATCACAGAAATAAATTACATTTTAAAATATATTCATATATGAAATAGCTTTTCCAAACTGCAAAAGCTTTCACAATATTAGTGTTTACACTTTATTTTTGATCACATAATTGCAGCCTTTGGAAGCAGAAGTAGTGTAACCTACATTTTGTGTTTGAAAATGGTTTAAAATATAAAGGGTTCAACATAAAGACACTTTTTTGAAAGACACTTTTTTCAGTTTAAATAAGTTATATAAACTGTTCAACTGCTGAAAAAAAATAGAATTTATTATTTTTATAATCCGCACACATCTCGTCTAAACATACTAACCCTGTACTGTAATCCAACTGAAGTTTTCCAATTGAAGTAATGTAAAAAATTACTATTTTTCCAGTGATTCAGAGATATGTATCATTGCTGTTAGAATGCACAAAACTGAAATACTTGCATAGGTATACAGTACATATATATTTGGATATACATATATATATATATATATATATATATATATATCAAGAGACCTAATCTCAAAGTAATCAATGAAATAATTTTGGATTGTCCCTTAATTTGTAAAAGCAAAGAAATCTCATCTACAATGAAATTCACGAGTGGCAAAGCATTCTGGAGGGTTTAACATTTTTTACATTTTTGTTAATAGAAATAAGAAAGACATAAAACTAAATATTAACATGAAATTAAACTAAAATGAAATTGAAAACATAAAAATAAAAGCCAATTAAAAATATTAATAAAAAATAAAATCTCACATAATCAAGAGCACGAACAGACTATTTAAACCAGAGTCAAAATGCACAATTTAAATGATTTTCTCAGTACTCACAGTAGAATAGGCCAGAGCCCCATTACTGATTCGGAGAGCGGCAATTCTCTGCAGGCACTCAACGATACGCGAGCACGCTCGCGCCTCCCTCTGAGCCATCCATAACACTCGCTCATCAGCCAGCATCAGATTACTGGAGATATCCACCATCACATCTCCCAGCTGAGAGAGGAAATGCAGTTAGAGACGATGCAACACATGCACACCCACCCCACAACACTGATGATCCCTCCAGGCCCACATTATTCCCACAAACACACTGCATACTCATTCAGTGCAGTTACAAAACTGCATTCCTGAAATCAACTAAACCTGACATCACACTCAGAAAAATGCTAATGAGCTAATGTTTTCCGGAAGAACTAAAACGTGATTAGTGGGATGCGTCCGACTTTCCCACACTGGAGGAACGCACATTGTGAATGTTATCAAAAAACAATGCTGCAAACGCTGGAGCGCTAAATTGCCTGTTCTTTGTCAATTCAATGCAACCTAAATTCTAGTGCTGTCAAACGATTAATCGCGATTAATCGCATCCAAAATAAAAGTTTTTGTTTTCATAATATATGTGTGTGTACTGTGTATATTTATTATGTATATATAAATACACACACATGCATGTATATATTTAAGAAAAATATGTTATATGTGTATATTAAATATATTTATATATAATATAAATTATATATAAATATATTTAATATACACATGTAAATATTTTCAAAATGTATAATGTGTGTGTATTTATATATACATAATAAATATACACAGTACACACACATATATTATGAAAACAAAAACTTTTATTTTGGATGCGATTAATCGCGATTAATCGTTTGACAGCACTACTAAATTCCTAAACAAAATCACATAACCGACGCAAAATCGTGAGGCAAGTCAAATTTAATAAGGTGCCCTTGCAATATGTGAGATGTTGAATGACGGTACGGATCCCTGCGCAGGTGTTACATGATAACATTTCCCCTCAACACTGAGTGAAGTGCAACCTGATCCTGAATAATAGCTTCTACGTTCCTCTGTGGCCCAGTGCCCAAATCCTATCTGCACTTCTCCTCACTGACTGAACCGTAAAAGCCTGTTAGTTCTCCAGAGATGAGGAGAGTCACGAACCGAGGTGGCCAACAGGTGCTTTAAATGGGCAGTTCTCAACCTTTCTGACTCCAAGACGCCCCTTTGCACACAACAGCATTCAAAGGTGCCGCGATTAAGGATTTTTATTTACTCAAGCTCTTCCAGTTAAAATAAATATTAGGCATTTTAGGTTAAGTTTAGCATAACGGATTTTAGTTTTCAACAGTGTTATTGTGTAACTAAGACTAACACTAATAAAAATAATTTTCAGTAATTGAAATAAAGCTGAAATAAAACTAAATAATTATTAGAAGAAAATAAAATGTATTTAATTCAAGTAGTTGCCAAGGCAGCATTTCTAGTTTGTTAGTTTAAACTGAAGTACTAAAAACAAAAACAAAATAGAAATGAACAAACGAATGAATAACATTAAGCTTTTATTCATTTTAATTATTCATTTTCCAAATCTGGAAATAACACTTTTAACATTCTGACCATTTTGATTAAGACTACTAATAATTAACTGAAATAATGCAGAAATAAAATAAAAATATAAATATTTGATGAAAAACTGTGCTGCATTGATGAAAAATATTTGATGAAAAACAGTGCTGCATTGGTAAATAACTGAAATAAGTTTAAGCTCAAATTAAACTAAATCAGAAATAAAACAAGTAATTTTAAAGCAATTTAAACTTCACGATTACTATCATATTATATAAATATTACTAACATACTGTAGTAAAAATGTACAATTTAAAAAAAAATAATAATAATAAATCACACTTTTAAATTTTAAACTTTTTTCACTTTTTACTTTTAAATTCTCAAATTGTTTAAATTCTCCTAAATATCCAAGTTTTCTAAGACCGTGGGAATCCTGGTTTTTCACTGAACAGCTGAGGATGTCAATAAAATAAATATCTTGTTATTTTGTCATCTTGACGTCCCATCTGCTTTAAATTCCCTGGATCTGAGGCCTTATGTGATTTGTCTCAGAATGACTGTTGAAGTGTTTATGTAAGAGAAGCTGCTCACAGATCAGTTAAAGTGTTAGACTTTTGTGTTGCACAGAAAAGAAAAAAAAACATTATTCAGAACAGACCCTATATGACTTGATTTGATTTGACTCGCCTCTTTATACTTCTCGGCAAACTTGCCGATCTTCTCGATCATCTCGGCTACAAAGATCACATCCACCTTGTCAGAGAAGTTGGGCGCCTCTGCGGTGTAAGCCAACAGCTGCTGCGCCGTCTGAACCGCATTGGTCAGATTCAGAGGCATCTGACATACCAGGAAAAAAAGAAATAAAATTAAGAAAATGAGAACAGACACAGAAGAATCAAATATTATGTCTGACATAAACCACTAAAAAAAGGTGCATGATGAGGATTAAACACAGAATACTGCATGGCTCAACTGCTTTGCCCAATGCAAAGTTACACTTATCTACCTGGTTGATAATATAAAGCACACGCGTGACGTCTTTCATATATTCACAGCGGGAGTAGTCGTCCTCTGCCCACTGTCCACTGCGGCCACATCGCCTCCACGCGCGTCGATCTTCCGCCAAGCTGCCCGAGTAAATGCCAGCTCCGCTCACCTGCCGTTTACAGGGCAAGTACGCTGTAATGCCAGACAGTGTCCGAGGCCATCTGCATACAGACACGTTCAATACATGTTCATGCACGACAAAGGAAGTACCAATCTGTCTGTGATGTTGCATAGAAATAAATAGCCTTAAATGGGAATATATTTGTTTTGATTTAACAGAATATGCAATAAAAAAAGTCTAAAAATAAATGAAAGTTTAAACTTGTGCTGTAATATGTAGCACTTAGATCTGTTACCACTAGAGTGCAGCAAAGAGCTAAAAAAATAGATTGTTTTGATATCGTCAGCAATGTATACACAACTGATTCAATGATCTAAATCTGTTAATCATATTTATACTGTTTTTTTTTTTTTTACTTTTAACACCTTTACTAAAGCAAAGTTTAGAATCAGTAAGATTTTTCTGAAAGAGATTACTACTTTTATTCAATAAGCATGCACTAAATTAACCAAAAGTGACAGCGAAGACATTTATGATGCTAGAAAAGATTTCTATTTCAAATAAATGCTTTTTGTTTAACTTTCTATTCATCGAAGAATCAATTTAATCAAATAAGCAGCATAATTTTCAAAACTGATAATAATAAGAAATGTTTCTTGGGCAGCAAATCAGCATATGTGACCCTGGAACACAAAACCAGTAATAAGGGTCAATTTTTTGAAATTGAGATTTATACATCATCTGAAAGCTGCATAAATAAGCTTTCCGTTGATGTGTGGTTTGTTAGGATAGGACAATATTTGGCTGAGATACAACTATTTGAAAATCTGGAATCTGAAGGTGCAAAAAAATCAAAATATTGAGAAAATCACCTTTAAAGTTGTCCAAATGAAGTTCTTAGCATTGCATATTACTAATCAAAAATGAAGTTTTAATATATTTACGGTAGGAAATTTACAAAATATCTTCATGGAACATGATCTTTACTTAATATCCTAATGATTTTTGGCATAAAAGAAAAATAATTAATTTTGACCCGTACAATGTATTGTTGGCTATTGCTACAAATACACGCCAGCGACTTAAGACTGGTTTTGTGATCCAGGGCACATATCGGAATAATTTCTGATGGATCATGTGACTGAAGACTGGAGTAATGATGCTGAAAATTCATTTTTGCATCACAGGAATAAATTACATTTTTAAATACATATTACAATAAAAAAAGTATTTTAAATTGTAATAATATTTCATTTTTTTACTCTATTTTTGATCAAATAAACACAGCCTTAGTGAGCAGTAGAGACTTTCAAAAACACTGAAGTTTTAGCGACTCCAAACTGTGAACAGCATCATGTGATCAGATGTGCACTGGACTCACCTGTAGTCCCCCTTGTTGTTTGACACCCGATCTGGCAAGCAGTATTTGGCAGAGCTCTCCAGAACCACGATGTGGACCGTCCTGGTGTTGTTTCCTCGACTGGTGCGCACGCGACACTCCCAGTTCCCCGTGAATCCCGGCTGGATGTTGGAAATGGTCAAGGCGCTGTGTGAGGACAAAACAAATGAGGCAAAAACTGTTGCTCTGGGAGAAAAGTCAAGATTATGAATTTAGCATACAGATTTTAGTATTTCACAGTGTTATTGTTACTTGAAACTAAAAGTAAAACCATTACAAAACTTCTGAAATAAAGCTGGGGGGGATCTATCTATCTATCTATCTGTCTGTCGTGTGTATATATATATACAGTATCTCACAGAAGTGAGTACACCCCTCACATTTTTGTAAATATTTTATTATATCTTTTCATGTGACAACACTGAAGAAATGACACTTTGCTACAATGTAAAGTAGTGAGTGTACAGCTTGTATAACAGTGTAAATTTGCTGTCCCCTCAAAATAACTCAACACACAGCCATTAATGTCTAAACTGCTGGCCACAAAAGTGAGTACACCCCTAAGTAAAAATGTCCAAATTGTCAATATTTTGTGCGCCCACAATTATTTTCCAGCACTGCCTTAAAAAGTCTCATTAGGAGTACAAAACTAGTAAAATTAAAAAAAATAAAATAAAATAGAATTACTACAATTGCAGCTAAAATAAACAAGAAAACTAAAATTATGAATATTTTGAATTAGCTTTTATTTTTATAAATACTATAATTAGTACAAATACTACTAAAATAGCACCGGTGTTCAAACGGACGCTCTGGCAGGATATACAACCTATATTTGTCTTCCTTTAAGAACAACGCATGGCTTTTTTAAGTTCTGGCATTTTCCAGCACAATGTTGGTAGATCAAGTGTGAGTTTATATTTCAGGTATATGTATCGTCACGCTCCAAGGCAAACACTGCTCATAGTGTGATTCATGTATATCTAGCGTGCAGAAAAGACATTCAGTATTGGGTTATTTGTCTTCCTTTAAGAACAACGCATGGCTTTTTTAAGTTCTGGCATTTTCCAGCACAATGTTGGTAGATCAAGTGTGAGTTTATATTTCAGGTATATGTATCGTCACGCTCCAAGGCAAACACTGCTCATAGTGTGATTCATGTATATCTAGCGTGCAGAAAAGACATTCTGCAGTCAGTATTGGGTTTGGTATCTCCTTCACAGCTGGCTTCTATTACCTGGCTATTAAAGAGCAATTCTGCACCATGCTTTTCTCTATGTAGATGCCCTGAGTGGCATCAGGTTCCACCATCTTCCCGTCCTGATACCACAGAACCTGCATGTCCTCGTCCACGAAAGAGGCCATGCACTGAAACGGCAGGCTGTCTCCCTGGAAGACGATCTGATGCTGGGACGGAGTCATCTGGAAGGAGGGAAGCTCTAGAGGAGCGTCTAAAACAGAGAAGGGAGAAAATCAAAAGAGAGAGGATGAAAAACACTGTGGTGAGCCACAGATGACTGCTATGTGCAAAAGCTGACATTAATGAGTGATCCGAGAGCAGTTTCATTGTAGTTCTTGCACAAGCTATGGTTACAAAAGTCCAAAATCAACATAAACGGGAGGCCTGAACCCAGGCTGAAGGTCTTTTATAGCAGGATTACTTTGCTTTTGGTGCAGGAGAGTGTGACTGTATTAGTAAAAGAACAGGAAATCAATGGTTTTGAGCTTTTTTCAATCACCAATCATGTATTCTTTTCCACTAATTTAGATATTAGACTATTAGAAACAGTGTAATTTTACTATAAAAGATTAGATTTAATGTGCAATGTGTCACAGGTCATGGAAAGCTAAGGTCTGGTTACTCTTATCAGACTACATGTTGCACAATGTCATTAAAATATAACAAAATAAGGCACTTATCTCCTTTAATCTAGTTTCTGTTTGCTAACAATTTAGGCAAAACCTGACCTATTTGCGCATGTATGCAGTGTTGTTATTGTTAACCAAAACTAAAACTATTATAAACGGTTTCATGATTTGAAATAAATATGAAAAATAGAAATGTTACGTTAGCAACTAAATGAAATAAAAATACATAAGAAAATAAAGCAAATCTTAAGAAAAGAACATTTTAATAAAGCTGAATAGAAATATTTTTAAAAAAACAAATAAAAATAAGCACACAACAAAATTACTAAACCCTAAACTAACATTAAAAATAAAACTGAAAATACATTAGGAAATAGCATAATATAAATAATATTAAAATAACACTGATTGTTAGAACCAAATCCTAATACATATATTTAATAATTATGATGAGAAATATAATATACACACAACAAAATTACTAAAATTAAAAAAAAAAGAAAAAATTATATATATATATATATATATAGTAATTTCATAATAATAATAAAACATATGTAAAAAA